TACGGTTCGCCACTGTACCATTTGCAACCATCAAATCTTGCGTGATGTTCTGCAAAGAGAAACCCAAATGTAAAAGCATAAACTATTACCAAAATGCAGAGACTTGTGAATTGAACAACATGAGCGAGGTGTCGTCCCCAGAGAACATGATGGACTTCAAAACGGCTCTGTACATTACTATTGCCCCATGTTACTATGACAACGAATGCAGAAATCAAGAGGAGATATGTCTGGTTGTTGGTGGCAGCAGAAAATGTAAAGGTAATGCTAACTTCCTCTTTTAACTTTTCTCGACTTAATTAAAAAAAAAATTTGCTCTGAAGGTCTTGTAGCCGAGGCAATAACCACACTTGCATCTGAATTGACAAAAAAAAAAAAAAAAATGGGACATGGCCATTAACTTCACTCTTTATAAGAAGTAAGATTTACTCAGGGGAACATGAAAACAGTTCCGAGATCGAAGACGGAGCAGGTCCCTGGCTTAGTCACTGATATTGTTGATGATTATGTTGTTGCTAATGCTTTTTTTCGGTTGAATTATTCCGCAAATGCGGCCTAAATATGTTAAAAAATGCTTAAAGTCTAAAAAAATTGTGTAAATGTAAAAATGTGAAGGAAAGACGAAAATATTTTGGTCTGGTAGTATGAACTACCACGAAGTTGTAGTATGAGACAACACTGAAGGAAATTATACTTTGGAAGATGTTTTATCTTTAACCTTTGGATACTCGCCACTCTTACGGCCACAAAGGTGACAAGGACATATTCTATCAAATTAATGACAACTGTTTTGTAAGGTTAAGAAATGTGTTATTATAAAATTTTTACTCGCTTCTTCTTCTAAAAGTATGCATACAGGAGGCCTTAGGTCTTGAAGATAGTGCTTCATCTGTTGAGAACGGAAATACACCAGCCCATCTCCTTCGTCTCAACTCCGCCAAGGCATGGAGTGCAAGCACCAGTGATAATGAGCCCTGGGTTCAAGTTGACCTCGGCAAGGACGTGGTGATCAAGAAAATCGCTACCCAGGGTAAAAAAGGTGCCTACCAGTATACAACCACTTACACCCTTTCATCGCTTGCCAACGGAAAAACTGATTGGGTGACATACAAAGAGAACAATGCTGTAAAGGTTAGTCAGGTGTTGGTATTTGTTTGTCTTTTTGTTTTTTTTTGATGATCTAATACAGCTCGTGAATTTTTCACATTGATTTTCCAAAGATCTTTCCATATTCTAAACCCAACAAGGTTTCATGAAAGGTATCATGCAATGTTTTTGTTAATGCTTCGACTGAGTGTGTTCAAAGAGAACAACGTTGTGAAGGTAAGTCAGGTGCCTCCAGTTTGAATTTTGTTTTTTTGAACAAATAAAATCCAAGTATTTGAGGGATATGATCTTCGAAAAGTCACATCTTTCCTCATTCTGGAATCGAAAAAGTTTCGTGAAAAAAATTATGAAGTTTTAGCGATAAAACCTAAGTACTTCTGAGAGAACTTGAAGTCTCCCGTGTACTTCTTCTTTGAAGTCATTATTCTATGAAAATTTCCGGAAATCAATACAACGATCCTCAATCGAGCAACTAGCTAATATTATGATAATGGACTCTAATTTTGTTTGTAGGTATTTCAAGGTAATGAAGATCAGAGCACAGTGGTTTCTCCTGTGTTGTCACAACACATCAGGGCTCGTTTTGTAAGGTTCTGGCCAAAGACTTGGAGAAGTAACTACAGAACAATGAGAGCAGAGCTGTACGGCTGTTACCCATAGTAGCTGCTTTAGCATCCAAAAAGGCTGCAACAGCAACTCTCAACTGTATTTTGACCTGGAAATGAACTGCAACTATATCTACATTAGCAATAAGTGGTAGACTTGAGTGTTATNTCTGAAATGCTTCCGTAATGATGAGAATGATCTTCGAGGCAATGAACATTACTTTTGCATTAGTCGGTTTGTTCGAGAGTTGAACCCATGACCTCTACTGAGCTTAAAGCCAATTGAGAGCAAACCATTTTTTTGCTACATAATAAACCGTTGTAGTCATAAATGAACGGCTGGGAATTAAAGATGAGTGATCTTCGCAGTCGTTAATAACACTTTTGCTTTCAGTAGTGTTTATTATTGCGTAGAACATTCTCATCTTTATTTGTTTAATCGGCACTTCAAATATACGATATTCATATATTCAAAGTTGTTCATGCTCCAGTCAGTTGTCATAATTACTATTCTTTGGCGTACGTAATGCGAATGCACATTTTATAACTTCCTGGCAGAATATACCGCTCAGATGTTTACACATGGATAAAATTCCATACAAGAGCAGAAAATTGCAACGTTTTATAAAACTGACACAACCCTTCCCTTTTCATTTTTGTTAAGAACATCTATTACACGTATTTTTCGATTATTTCTTGCTCATTCTTATCACTCATTTGCAACGTGCCAATTATTTCTCTAATAGCCTGTTCCAGTAAGGAAACAATAGCTCGTCACTGTTATCAGAGCAAAGAGAATTGAATAGAGGGAAAGAATAGACAGAAAGAAAGAAAAATGAAAAAGGAAGCATTATTAAGGGAGTATGGCTCTTCCCTAGTCTCTTCTCCTCTTTTTCTTGTTTTATTTGCTTCGTTCCCATCAATACCCTTTATCGCCAATTACTAAATGAACTCCCGGAAAGTATGCTTCGTTCAGTGCTTCTTTTTGCTGATTATTTAGAGGTCAGGTTCTTCCTACGGGACGGTTGTTTGTCGAAATTGCATCGATCTTAAGCAGTCCTTTGAACTTATGCACGCGTGCGCCCTTTTATCATTTTATCATGACGATGTATATTTCCATGGTCGATCGAAGTTTTTTTAAACCTCATCAACTAAGCAAGAAGAATGATAAAAAGTAGCTAATATCTGTTGCCTTCATTACCCGAGTGTTCCGATATTATTCCCATGATGTCCTTCGAGGGAGCGCATCAATAGCAGAGTTTGGTTATTTTTTTAGGCTTTCAGTGAGTGGAACAATCTAGACAATAAACCAAAATTGATATTAACCAAACATGATCATACATCTGACGCGGAACTTAAATTACCTGTTCAACAATGTTTAACATACAGACTTCTGCAGCAAATTAGTACACACTGCCTAGAGAAAATAAGAGCAAAGCTTTGTTTGACATCTAGGGAGCCCTCTCGCCTGGAAAGCACGATTAGCAACAAAAATTAATTAAAATTTAAGACTGAAATTTTTGGTTCTGCTACTAACTGCTTTGAGAACAACCCATCTATAGTTTCAAACGAGGTTCACGTCGTTTTCTCGTTCTAAAACTTTGTTTCTGTCGATAATCTTACCTGCTCGACCGATAATGTTCATTGATTCAAAACTCATTTTAATCTTGTTGTCCCCCAGCTGTTCCTAACTCTGTTTTTCAGCGACCAAAAGCTTCGTGTGTAATATTTAACTGAATTAAATTGCACCGCAACAGTGTCATAACTACTCTTTTCGAGGCAGAGCTTTGAAGCTTAATTGTCGCCAAAACATTATTTCGTTCAACAAAAGGGCCACATTTTGATGCCCAGCGAAGAGAAAAGTATATTTCTATATCTTTTTAAACGTTATCCTGTTTCTTTATCTATTCCATATTGTTTGCACAGAGTAATTGAATTCTAGAGTGCTATAGCTAAACAAAGTACAGTGACATCTTCACGACGTTACAAACGCGCAGATATCATGTCTTCCTGGAGATTCCGAAGTCGAAAGAAATATATCTTGTCCTCTAGTTTAGTTTGCGTTATTGCAATTGAGGTTATTGCAGTCAGCGAGTGTGCCCAACCTTTCACGGAAAACAGCCTAAGATTGAAAATATAATGATACATTTTGCTAAACCTAGCTAGCTGGCTCACTGTGTTGTTAGCTGGTAGTATTTAGGACGCCCCCACACTTAACAATGATTTATTTTTATTATCTATGAAGAGACACCCTGTCGTGTTACAATTTAATTCGATTTTATTTATTAATTTCCCCAAGAACTTTCAGATGTCTTTTGCTAGCCTGGAGACTTCTTGCAAAGAATTAAGGACAAGTGAGGTTGCAAAGGGAAAACTCATCTGCGGTAAGCCATGGGTCTCCTTTTGTCTGATTTTACGTAGCTTCTGTGTCCCTGAATTTAAAGTACGGTGTAGCTTATAACTTCATGATGAAGGCGACACGAGAAGATGTTCGATTCCTACAAGGTGCAAAAGATACAGTCTTTAACTTGAAGGACAACGGTAAATAAAAGTATGATTACACAAGGTAAAAATCAGAATAGAAGGAAAGAAACTACTAAATGATTGTTGACAACAATTTTTGTTGTTGTGCGTTTTTTTTGTGCCAAAGTTAGGCACAAAACCAAAAAATAAGGATTTGACTTGATATTTGTTTGAATAATTCTGTGAAAGGAAAGACGAAAAGTTTCACGGCATCAGCTAGAATAATTTGATCACGTTTCATAAAATGTGTTTATGCTAAAATTTCTTGTTCCTCTCCTTATTTCCAATATCCTCTGCATTCTATGAATTAACTCAACTGTTGAATTAAATTGTACGGCAACCGCAACGTTCATTTTGTTCTTTTAACGTCAGAACTTTGAATCTTTTATCATCACATAGCTTCGTTCAGTAAGGGCCACATTTTTATGTCGAGCAAAGGTGCGAGTATACTTTTATATCTTTTTAAACATGAACCTATATATTTGGCCATTCCATATTATCTGAATAGGGCAATTGAAATTTGGAGTGCTTTAACTAAACAAAGCATAGAACGAATTCTCAAAGCAAATCACAAAAATATAGAGATCACCAACTTCCAGTAGATTTCGCTTTTGGAGAGCGGGGGCGACTGTAAAGGTAATGCTTTTTCTAACATTTACCGACTTTATCGATGTTTTTAGATTTTTGAGCTGAATAACATGAGCCTAGTGTCGCCCCGAGAAAACATGGTGGACTTAGAATTAGCTATGTACATGCATGACCAACGCTTTTCGAATCACTTGTTACTATGATTTTGAATGTGAAGGGCAAGAAGTGATCTGCCAGCTTGTGGGGGAAGGGGGCAAGTGCAATTATAAAGGTTTTATCTTTTTCTAACATTTCCCGACTTTATTAAGACTCTTGTAGCCAAGGAAACAACTGCAGTTGTACTCAAATAATATAACATAACATCAACTTTATTTCAACACGATAAGTGTTTAAAGCTTCGCGCTTATGGGGTCGTGCATTTAAACTAGTCCTAAAACTAATATCTATTACTAACTTACATACAAAATAAAAGTAAGATTACTAATAGTTAATAATTATAAAAATTTGTACGAGATATGTGATATAATTTGCATAAGATATCATAAAAAATGAAAATAGTCTTGATCACAAAAATTAACTGTTGAGGCAGATGTTACCTTAAAATGAAAATCTTTAAATTCAACAATCTTACTTAATCTTGAATCTATGCTCTTTCGTGTAGCATGAACAATGTCTGCATTCCTAGACGTAATTGTATTCCAGAAAGAACAGCCCCTCCATAAGTTACTCACTGAACGTTCTAAATAGCGAGATTGAAATCTTGGTATAACAACATCATCTGACCCCCTTAATGAATACTTAGCACCGCTGTACCGGCTCTTAACGATAATATTTTCGGACAATTGTTCTGGTAGAAAATCATTGTATGCACCTTCTACTACCTTAGACAGTTTGGTCTTATAAATATTATCTAAGGAGGGCCATTTAGCTATCTTCAGAGAGTCGTCATGGGAGGTGTCTTTCTTTAAATTATATCATTAACTTTGCTGCTCGGCTGTGAAGTTTTTTAATCACCCCAAATAACTCAAGATTACAACAGCTTGCCCACGTAACAATACCATAAGTGACGCCAGGAAGAATAACAGTGAAATAAAATTGCTCCAATACCCTTTTGGGTAAGAATCTTGATTTTCTTAATAAGTTAAGCTTATTTGCGAAACTCTTTTTAACATTCATCAAATGTGGTGACCATGTTAAACTTTCATCGATAGTTACTCCTAATAAACGCGATCTCTTAACCCAATTAACATAAAAGTCTCCCATAGTAACAAGTAAAATAGGGCCTATGATACGTGTCTTAGATATCAGCATAGCTTTACTCTTTTTCGGATGAGGTGTAAGCCTATTGACAAGACACCAATCATATAATTCAGATAATGCCCTATTTAGTTGATAAGCTGCATGATCCCCGTTGTCACCCACACAATAAACAGTTGTATCATCCGCGCACATAAATATTTCACCAGAATTCACAGAAGATAGTAAATCGTTAGTAAATAAGGTAAATAACGTCGGTCCTAGTACCGATCGCTGTGGAATACCAACATGAATTGGAGAACAATATTGGTGAAAAAGGTGGGCATGGATATTTACTCTCTCAATAAGGTTCACCTAGGGTAGGCATCGAAGAAAAACAGGTCCACAGGCGCAGACATCGTTGATTCCCTTGCTATTAATATCGATAAAGTCTTATTTATTCGAGTGATTCTCAAATGGAACCTAGATATGAATAAAAATGCTAACATTTTCACAACACACGCAAGAATGCAGAATGTGAAGGAAAGGCGAAAGGGAATAAGTCTGGTAACATTAATTGCACCATGCTTTAGAATGCTAAAAGCTGTGGAATCGAGACAGTACTAAAGAAACATGTGTAGTCAGATGGTTTATCTTTGACCTGCGATTATTTCCTATCAACTGGTTCTGCTTTTTGCCTTATAATCTTGGTGAAATCCATTTGATTTAGTTGCATGGAGCGATCTTGCACGAAGGAAATGCACATGAGACCAGATTAAACTCAAATTGGTTCTTTTTCTCACTTTGTG